TAATTGACTGAGTTATTTTGATTTTGCTTTTACCTTTTTGAGACCAAGGAATATCCTTGAATATCTTCAAAATCGTTCAAACTATGAAATCAAGCTTTGCAAATATTCCTAAAAATTATCCAAGAACATTTTTAAAACATGGCGACCTGTACTTCAACTTTAACGTTAACATGGCAACCCAGGTTTAACAGCCTTGTTTTACGAAATTCGTCTTTTTTTCTATAAAAAAGGAGTTATTGTAATTTTTTTTTTAACCGGAAAATGGTATTACACTCAATGTAGAATCATTTAAATATTTGTTATAACTGTTAATTCAGTCGAGGTTTTTTGGTGACCACATTCGCCATTTGCACTTCTCCCATAATGCACCTTGTTTGCCCTCCAAATTTTGCATAAGCATCGTCTTCAGTCTCTCTTGGGAAAATTGCAATACCCAGGAGAAATTGAAAAAAAGGTTATGCAAAGCTTTAGGGGCAAACGAGGTGTATTATGGGAGATGTGCAAATGACCAACTGACCTTTTTACCGATACGGCGGCCATATTGAATTAATTAGTTTTAAGGAGTATTATGGGATGCCCAGGGGGAATAAGTTTGATCTGATGTACTCGTTCGGTATTTGCGGCCGCTTTTCGGGCACCTTTTCCCAAAGATTTCCTAGAATATGCTTGTAATGGGAAAAAAGGCCGCTGTGTTGTCTTTGGGGTAATAATGATAATACCAGTTTCTTTGGAGGTACGTTAATTCTGCTCTTGCAAAGAGCAAAGGCACTTGGCTACTTGGACGAGACTACTGAGCGAGAAGGTATTTAAGGTGGACAAAAATACTAATTAAGTTTGCTCAAATCATTTTAAATTTGGAAGACTGGTTGACAGTCATCCTCATCCAACGCTCTTTCTGAAGGGCTTTGAAAGGGAACTAGTTGTAACACGTAAGAGAAATGCTCCCATGGACATGCTTCTAGTACAACCAATTATTAGTAAGAGGAAGAAGTTAGATAATGATTCTAAACAGCAAAAGAAAAAAAGAAGCAATTAAAATCGTGGACACTCCAAAGAAACTGGTATTGTCTTTCACTGTACTATTTCTCGGGTAAAAGGCGATCATTATTACATCCAAACACGGTACAAAGTTATTTTTTCCCATTACAATCTTGTTCTTCAAAAACTTTAAGAAATATTGCCCCGAGAAGCGCGCTTAAATACTGAGCGAGTGTATCGGATGGTGCTCATGATCCCTAGGCATCCCATAATACTCCTTATATTCTAATTAATTCAATATTGCCGCCGCATCGGTAAAAAATATACTGAAGATAAACTGACTTAATAGTAGATGTTGGATTTAAATTTTAACAGCGTTCAACAGTTTTAATTATCAGCAGTATTTTTTGTTTTTGTTTTTTATTTTACTTTTACATTAACAAGTATTTTACTGTTAGCTTGTTTTATTTTATGTTTTGCTTTTTAAGCATATATGTACTTTAATACACAGAACAAATTTTATATCACGGTTTCCTCGATTTACACAGGCTAGCTTCGAACAAAACTAATAATTCAAAATGGCAGAATTAATATAGCGTTGTTCCAGTTTGTTCTCTAATAATAAACAAAGTCATCATGACGCCACTGCTGTGTGCTGCTACCAGTGTGTCAGCCAACGTCATGATTTTTTTCAGACATTTCATTATTTTAGCATGTTTCACTTTAGGCTACCTCTAGGGAAAAAAGATGAAATTTGGTTTCTGCTTATAACTTTAACAATGTTACGTCGTAAGTACGTCAAATCGCGTTAGTTATCCCTAGATGTTGAAAATGATGCGTACATTATTAGGTCTACGTAATTTTGGTGGTTGCGTATCATGATCTGTTTTAAAGTCCGACGTTGCCCTGTCTTAGGGAGCCAGAAAAGGGAAAAACGCATGGTCAGATTAGGGTTAAACTTTTGTTTATTCCGTGTGACGATACGTTTTTTGGAGAACTTTCGTCGTTTAACTACAATATTGCTACTGCTAATTGATGAGATCATGTTTTAACGACCAAAAATTGAACTGTATTTTTTTACTGTTAAGAACTCTTTAGTTAGCGGGAATAATGTCTTTTTATTTTCTCCTACCCATGGCACTTACCTAAGCAACGGGGGACAGGGGAACTCCAACTCCTATTAGCTTGACAATATATAACATCAGTCCCCACTAGAGTGTAATTCTTGTCACAAACAAACGTGACTGATCCACCATAGACGTAGCCNTTTTGGTGGTTGCGTATCATGATCTGTTTTAAAGTCCGACGTTGCCCTGTCTTAGGGAGCCAGAAAAGGGAAAAACGCATGGTCAGATTAGGGTTAAACTTTTGTTTATTCCGTGTGACGATACGTTTTTTGGAGAACTTTCGTCGTTTAACTACAATATTGCTACTGCTAATTGATGAGATCATGTTTTAACGACCAAAAATTGAACTGTATTTTTTTACTGTTAAGAACTCTTTAGTTAGCGGGAATAATGTCTTTTTATTTTCTCCTACCCATGGCACTTACCTAAGCAACGGGGGACAGGGGAACTCCAACTCCTATTAGCTTGACAATATATAACATCAGTCCCCACTAGAGTGTAATTCTTGTCACAAACAAACGTGACTGATCCACCATAGACGTAGCCTTTCTTGACAATCTGGTCTCCATTTGTTGGTTTGCCAGGATCACCACACTCAACAGCTATAATAATTGCAAGGAAGCTAAATTTTTAACCTTTGGCCTTTGCAACTAAACAAGTATGGGAAATGAAGATCGCAGGACACTAAGTAAAACTTTGACTACAACTCGAGTAGATCGTTCGAGTTCATTCTTTATTTGACGGTTAAAATTTGAGGGCCTTATTTTGCAGCTATTACCAAAAAATTGTAACATAATATTAAAAGTTGCAAACAAACAACAACAACAACAGCAACAGCAACAACATTAAGCTCCAAAATCAATACAATCTTTCATTTTGGATTACAAGAAGACCGCGAACGGCTCGAGTTGGTCGTACGTGCCTTCCCCCTGTATGACAGGACGTGTTGCGCGTTTCTTAAAAATCCCTACAAATTCTCCAACCTAACGCCATTTTCTTGAATTAAAACCTGAGTCCCCAAACTAATCAGTCTATCATTTTATTCTTTGACTGATAGCTTTTTTGCACCTCTTTTAAAAGTATTATAACCTCGATCTTCAAGTTAAATGCCTAAACAAAACATTCAGATTTCCTGGATAGGTCACTACCGAGACTTTCCAAAAACTCAGGTCCCTGGACTAGACAGTTCATAAAACAATCTCAAGCTTTTTAAGTTTCTAAATAAACAAAAGCTGTTTAGAAAATTAACACTGATCGTTACCTTTGCATTTGGGAGCATCAGAGTTCCATCTTCCGTCCTCACAAGTCAGTTGAGCCTCGCCTTCAAGTGTGTACCCAGGATTACAAAAGTATCGAACTGTCTTTCCGTGCATGTAGTTCTTACCGATTTTAAGGCCGTGGTTTATATCACCAGGGGATCGACAGTTAGCTTTAATTAAAACAGAAAGTAAAATCTTCATGCTAGAAAAACTAGTCAAGAGTAAACAAATGGTTTGTTCTTTAAGCCCTAATTTCATAATAAATTAATTGCGTTTCTCTTATTTTTATTCAGCACACCAAGTTGTTCGAACAACTAGTATTAATACGTATTTGTAAACAGCTAAAATTTTCTACCTCTAATTTTCATAAATGATGTTTCTACGACCATATAATCTTACTGTTATTTATACTTTCAAGAGCCCTTAAATGTCTTTTATTTTTCCATACCCGAAATGGTACTTACCTGCGCAGCGTGGAACAGAGGAACTCCAACTCCTATCAGCATGACAATATATGACATCAGTCCCCGCTAGAGTGTAATTCTTGTCACAAACAAACTTGACTGATCCTCCATAGAAGTAGCCGTTCCTGACAATCTGCTCTCCATTTGTTGGTTTGCCAGGATCACCACACTCAACAGCTATCGTAATAATTACAGGGCCGTTAAGTTTTAACCATTGTCTTTTACATATGATTAAGTAATACAAGAATGAAGATTTCTTGGTATAAAGTAAAGCTTTGGCGTGCAACTTGAATCAGGACGCAAGTTAATTATTCTTTTAACAGTTCACAGTTGCGGGCTTACTTTATAATTCATTTTGCAGCCATTACCAAAATTTCCCACGTCGTATTTGAAAAGCTGGAAATAAAACAACCTTAAACTCCAAAATCAACGCAAGCTTTTATTTTGGAAAACAAGAATGAAGGCTTACCTTTACACTTGGGAGTGACAGTGTTCCATCTTCCATCTAGACAAGTCAGTTCAGCCTCGCCCTCAAGTGTGTACCCAAGGTTACAAGAGTATCGAACTGTTTTTCCGTGCGTGTAGTTATTACCGATTTTAAGACCATGATTTAAGTCACCAGGTGAGCGACAGTTAGCTTAATCAATGCAAAAAAGGAAAAATCAAGCTTAGTAAGAGGAAAAAGTAAGAGAACAAAAGAAATTGCGCGTTCCTTTTTTTGTTCATAAGAAACTAATTGACTGAATTATTTTGATTTTGCTTTTACCTTATTCAGACCAAGAGGCGTGTAAGGACCTCAAAAATTTAAAGTTGAATGCCTTTAAAATCGTCAAAACTATGACAACAAACTTAGCAAATTTTCCTAAAAATTATCTAAGAACGTTTTAAAAGCATTGCAACCCGGTACGTCAACTTTGATGCTGCCATAGCAACCGAGGTTTTAACAGCTGTGTTTTTCTAAGTTTGTCTTTTTTCTACAAAAATAATTTAGTTCAAGGTTAACTGACTGAATTAGTCTATTACAGTCAATTTGGAATTATTTTATACATTTATTATAACTGTTAATTTAATCCAGGCCTTTTGGTGACTAAATTCGCCATTTGCACATCTCCATAATGCACCTTGTTTGTGTTGCTTGTAAGTGTTGCTTAATACTTTAAAGAACTTTTCGGATAGCGGCACTAAATTAAATGTCTTTTATTTTTTCTTACCCATTTTCTTACCTACGCAGCGTGGAACAGAGGAACTCCAACTCCTATTAGCTTGACAATATATAACATCAGTCCCCACTAGAGTGTAATTCTTGTCACAAACAAACTTGACTGATCCACCATAGACGTAGCCTTTCTTGATAATCTGCTTTCCGTTTGATGGTTTGCCAGGATCACTACACTCAACAGCTATAATAATTGCAAGGAAGCTAAATTTGTAGCCTTTGTTTTTTTAATTACATATAAACAAGTATGGGAAATAAAGATTACAGGGTAATAGGTTATTATAAACTTTTGACTACAACTCAAGAAGATGCACACTAGTTAATCCTTGTTTAACCTATTAACCGTTAAAATTTGAGGTTCTATTTATTTTGCAGCCATAACAAAAATTTGTTACGTAATAGTAGAAGTTGTGACAAAAAAAAACAAAAAAAAAAACAGACAAACAAACAAACAAAAAGAAACAATAACTTTTAGCTCCAAACTAAACACAAACTTTTATTTTGGAAAACAAGAAGACCGCGAATTGCTCGCGTGGTCGCCCTTGTCTTTCCCCTGCGTGAAGCCATTTTCTTGAATTAAAATCTGATTCTCCAAACTTATAGCTGGTAACTTTTCTTGCACCTCCTGTAAAATTATTATAACTTCGATCTTCAAGGAAAATTCCTAAACATAGAACATTCAGATTTCCCGGGTGGGGGTCGCTATTGAGACTTTCGATCGAGAAACTCAGGTCCCTGCGGTCTAGACATTTTATAGAACACGCT